GGAGGGGGGGTTCTGCTGGTGTGTACCCTCCCAGGCAAGCGTTTGGGGGGGGGGGGTCATGTGCCTCCCCCAGACCTTTGTGCAGGGCAAAGGTGAGCTGCTGCTGTGGGCTTTGCCCCAGGCACCAAACTTCGTTGCTACAGCACTGCCCCAGCCCATGCCATTGCCTCTCACTCCCGACCCACAGCCCCCTGGCCCCACTGGTGCCCCTCACTCCTCACCTACAGCCCCCTGCCCACCCAAGCCCTGCCCATTTCCGCAGCCCCCTGCTGCCCACAGCAGGCCTGAGCCCTGACTGCCACCTGTGGGAGGCAGCAGAGGAGCAGAGCCTGACTCTTCCTCCCCCATGAGTGGCATGGCAGGAAAGGAGCCTGTTGAGGGGCACAGAAGCACACTGCCTGTTGCAGGCTCGGGTTTCCTGCCCTGCTGCCCTTTGGGGACTCTGCAGCCCAGAGGGTGGGACCCAGTGCAGCAGGGAAGAGTGAGGCTGGGTGGGGAAGAACGTTGCTGCCACTGGGAGCTCTGCACCACCATGGTGCCACCCCTGCCCACCCAGCAGCAGTAAAGGGCACAACTCTGTGCCAGCACCTCCGCTGCTGCCAGGGGGTGCCTCACCATGGTGGCACAGAGCTCCCAGTGTTGGCAATGAGCTTTCCTACCCACCCCCCTGGATGAGCTGCCCACAGTCCCGTCTTGCTCTCCGCCCAGGCCTTGCGGCTGCACTTTCCAGCCCCAGGCTCCAAGCCCCACACACTGTCCAGGCTGGGCAGCAGCCTCAGGTCCAGCCCTGACCAACTCCCTCCCACCCCACCAGACTTACCTGTGGGAGCTGCTCTCCACACTACCTGATGGACATGTCAACATGTACATGCGCACATGCACGTGGCACTCCCACCTGATCGCTCTCCTCCTGCTCCCTCCAGCCCCTTGCAGGCTGGAACTCTGCTAGCCTGTGAGGGGAAACCCACTATTTCCTGTATTTTTCTCGTTAAAAAGAGAAAATCCAGGTTTTACTGCTTTTTTCCATGGCAAGCTGAAAACCCAGATCCCTGGTGATATCACATAGTACAGACACATCCAGGAGAGTAAGAGGGGCTTCCAGCATGCTTCCTTTAGTAGACATCTCTAAAGAGGATAGTGTGAGGCTAGTTACACTGGTTACATGCTGCTTGCAAGAGGAAATCCCCAGCTAGTCAGAGTCCCTGATTGTCCAGCTTCAGAAGCCAAAGATGTTGTCAATTGAATTGGTAGTCCTGTCAGATGAGATGCAAGTGGCTCAAGGGCAAAGTGATAGGCAGCAAGCTAAATTTCCCTCAGCAGTTAATTAAGAGAAAGACTACTCCTTCCCAAGGAGTGTGCCTGCCCTTCAACAACCAATACTGCAATCTGTCAAAACTGTTCCCTTGCATCTGTTCCTAGGAAAGAGCTATACAGTGCAACTGGCACACACCATTCACAGCCAAATTGATGTTTGCCAGCCACGGCCTCATGGAGTGATTCTGGGTACATCCTTGCTAACTGACAGGCAGCCAAGGAAGAGATGCTGTAGGTGCTGTCCAGCCAGAAAACAGAATGTCTACCAAGCCATAAGCTTTATTCCAGAGCTCAGCCAGAGTGAAGACAAGAGCCCATAAGGCCAAAGACTTCCCTACAACTTCTCTTCCTTCAGAAATGGTAGGCAAGGTTCAGGGACTGGGCTCCATAAAAGCAGTTGTGCAGTGGTGAGATACAGCCATTCTTCCATTATTTGAAAACCTTTCTGAAATTTTGGGTCACAGGGAAGAAGCAAGGCTGGGGGAAGGGATTTGAAAGAGAAGGAGGTTGGGAAGGATCGGTCGATAGGCAAACTGCAATAAGTTACAACCCAAGGGACTCAAGACCAAGTTCAACTGTCTGTTCTGCCACAGACTGCAAGGCAACCCTGTACCGCCTCTGCACCTCAACTCCTCATTTCTGGAATGAGGATCATAATTCTTCCCTACCTCACTGGGGTGCTGGAAGAGTACAGAAGTGGGGCCCATGTAAGTACCTAGAAGTTAGACAGAGAAACAGACATGACAGAGGTCTCTAGATGAGCACACAAAACCATCTCTCTGTTTTCTAAACTTCATGTTGTCTCGTGTCATGCTCTACACTTTTTTGACTGAAAAAATACTTCTGAACTGTGCCTCTGTGGAAAGAATCAACTAAACCATGATCTGCTGTAGAAGGGCTGGCTGTCTATGACAGCCGTAAGAAATTCTTTACGGTGAGGGTTGCCAAAATATGGAATGAGTTTCCAAGGGAGGTGGTGCTTTCCCCTTTCTTGGAGGTATTCAAGACGAAATTAGACAAGCACCTAGCTGGAGTTACTTAACCCCAGTGCTCTTTCCTGCCTAGAGCAGGGGATCAGACTCGATGACCTACCTACAAGGTCCCTTCTGACCCTAAAAATCTATGAAATCTATAGGTGCTCATCACACCCTGAAATCAATCAGGAGAAGCCCTGCATCTGAGTTGCCAGGTTATTTCCATGACCTTAAAGAACTTTAAGAGAAACCAGTGTTGTAAATAGCAAAACAGAGGTTGTAACTGGAGGGAGCTGATTATTCAGACAACCAAAAGTGCTTAAAATGATGTGCAATATTCTTCTCTACTTTCTTCTGTGTTCTATTTAACAGCATTTGTTAGACATGAAAGAAAAAGGGGATTTAAATGGAGAGCTCATACTGTAAAAACATCGCTGCAGAGTAGGCCAGAAAACAGAAACCTAATGAAACAGCACAGTAAATCTTAGGGCATGTGTAGATGAAATGGGGGCCCTAAATTGAAGTGGTGGGTTTTAAAAAACACTGCTTCAATTTAGGGCTGATTACACCCGCATGTCGTGCACACACTCTGCTGACTTACCTGCCTCTCCGGCAGGGTGGGGTAGGTGAGCTGCTGGTAGGTGGAGCAGTCCCTGGGCTGCAGGCAGGGGCTGTCACTTCCCTCCGTGGCAGCAGTGCCCCCTCCCTGGTGGTACCCACCCACAGGCACCTGGCTCGAGCATTTCCAGGGGGCACCGCAGCCACAGAAGGAAGCACCAGGCCCCCCCACACACCTCAGGCAGGCAGGCAGGCTCCGGGTGGGGAGGGAAGATCAGGTTCACCGCTTTCCTTGGGTGGAGCCTGCTTTCCTGGGCTGCTGCCAGGCTGCCTACAGGGCTTCCTGTAGAGCACCTGACCTGCATGGAGACCAGTGCTTTGGTCCACGGCTGTAGAGGCAGCAAACAAACTCCTCGGAGGAGTTTTAATTTACTGCACCCCAAGTCATTTAAGGCGCATTATGCTGCTGAATCTCCTACAGCAGCTGGATTTGGCCTGTGAGCAGATATTTGACACCCCTGGCATGCGCAATACACCGCCGAGGCATGCAAACACGAACACCATTAAAGCGGTGCAAAAGCATTTAGCCCGCTTTAAAGTGTGATGCACACATGCCTCTCGTTTTATCTACACATGGCCTTAGCCACTACTTTAAAGACAAACACTGTCAACTTCTAAAGTCTCCTTGACCCTTGTCTACTGGGATGTATCCCTCAAGAGGGCATTATATATAAATGGAAAATAAACAACCCATTATTTTTGGACACAGAACCAGAAGCCTCTGATATGGTGACCATATTTTGTCTCTTTCCACCTCCATTTTTCATTTAATTACAGGGTCTCTTGCAGCCTTCTCTACACTGGTGTACTACGTCACCTGAACTTTAGTCCCTTTGCAGTCCAATGTCACCACCACCCAAGCTTTTTTCCCACATTTCTAACAAGTGTTTCTGTCTGTCTAACTACTTTACTTGCTGCTGTGCTTGCCACCTGGATCAGGTTGTACATTTATCTGTGTGCCTTTCCACTGTGCTAGGGTCATCTTGACTGTATGTTACCTTGATGTTTAGATATTTGCAGGTATCCAGGAATACCTTTTCAATATCAGCCAGCAGCATCCCCATGTGACTCCACAGTAGCCAAGTCCTTCTTGTCTCCTCTACTCCCACATGGGTTTCTTCAGAAGCCTGGCATTTGACTGATCTTGGACTGGACTGCAAGTCCAGAAGTACCTGCAGACAAAAGAGCAGGTTGAGACCTCTGATAACACTGTGACTACCTGCCTGCTATAAAAAACTGGATTCGATCTTTTAAGCACCGCATTCCAAGATGACAAGATGGAGGGTTTTCCAAGCACCAAGACAATGTGACAAGCACACTGGATCCCAGATATACTGTGGGGTCTGACCAGGACTTTTTCCTTGGCACACAAGTATGTTTACAGATTACATGAGATCCTCATACAGACAGTTACATTCAAACCTCTGAGGAGAGCCAGCCTGAAAATGCGGTGGAGAGCAGCTGTACTATTCTGTAGTACAATACAATTGTCTACAGTTTTTTTCCAGGTACCAGCCTGTTGGGAAGAGCTAGGAGGCTCACCACCAATTCGCCTTTAACTCACTACGTCCATAACATAATCAAAATGGCATTTGTATCAGAGTCTTATAATTATATTTCCCTGCAGTATCAAATCCTACAATTGGATGTATTTGCTGTCTCCATAGACCACTTCCTGGGCTGCTTCTTATTTCACCTCCATTCAGTTCCATCCATTGCATCCCCCTTATTTCCCTCTGCTCAAGATGTAGGCACCATGAGGGTTAAAACCCCCAAACACTGCATGAAAGGCATGTATATTGTAGAGGCAGAGAGAAGGGAAAAAAGATCAATAGAAAATATACTTCAGCTCCCATTTTCATTAATGCATTTCAGCTTGAGATTTCTCAAGGTAAGTGGCTCAAGTCAGACTACAGCCATGGTTCAAAATGCATAGACATTACGAGGCTTCCCTACAGATTTGAAACCAGGCTGGGGGGAGGGGTCTGAATAATTGCTACAAAACGCTATTAATTTTGAAGCGTACTTTATGCCAGGGGTGCCAAAGATCTGCTCACAGGTCAAATCCAGCCTGTGAAGACATATCATGTGGCCTGCCGGGCTCTTAGAGGAGCTGGGAATTTGGGGGCAGAGACCCAAACTAAATTTGAACCTACAGAGCCTTGCTGGGGACTCATTTCAGTGGCAAAGGTGCAAGTGATGGGTGTGTTAATCCTCACAGCTCAGGAACCCTCAGCAGTTAACGGTTGGGACAGTAGGTATTTGTACTCTTTCAGGTTTCTTTTAGCACCTGTACAAGGACAGGCATTATAATCTTCAAGAAGACTAACAGTGTGTCAGTCCAGTGAGCTACGATCTGTTCCAAGAGTCATTGAACACATCTCAGAGAACCACACAGGCAGAAGCAGAGAACAGATGTTTCCTGGAACACGTGGCCGTAGACAGGAGAGGATGCATACAACATAGAGGGCACCCACCACAGGCTGCAAGGCCAGGCTGCAGGAGCCTTGAGGACCACTGGCTCCCACTTTTATTTTTAGGGTGGATTTTTTTCCTGATGATTCCATAGTAAAATTGCAGAGATTGCCATTTTTTGTGGGGTTTGCTTTTTTTGTGTGGTTTCCACAAGAAAATGTGAAATTGCAAATAGGGTAGATCCCTACCTGTACGAGTTTGTGAGCACTGGTATTTGGCCAGGCCTCAGTGCCACTGGCCACAAGTTTGTACTATATTTTTAGGCAACTGTTTTTTTTTTAAGAAAATGTGCGTTTTCAGGTGACATGAGTTGTTTGCTATGCCAAAAGATTCATTTTGGAATAATTTTCCTGAAGAATTTTAAGGTACAGCTCACCCCATAAACTGCTCATCCTACACTGTGCCAATGCCTAAGAAAAGTCGGTGTACAAACGATTCCTTCATTCCCTTGTGTCCAGCATATTCAGTGCTCTTAACTACTTCCTTACCTCAGTGCAAGAGGACAGTGCATCCCTGATCCTTCTTTCCTCACCACAGCAAGGACATTCCCTCCAGCTGCCATAGTGCTCACAAGTTTCTTCACCTTCTAAACCCACCCCGATTCCCACCATTGCTCTCACAAATGGTGTTCTAAATACAGTGAGCACTTATCACACAGGTACATAAGGAGGAGAAATGAATCTCTTTTGCAAGACACTACCCCTACCTGCCTCTCAGTCTTCTGAAGCACTGATACTTCACCCATGCTCTCTCTTTCCCAAGTAAAAGGACTCAGAAGCCAGGGAAGCAGAGGCCAAGCTAGGCCTCCAAGAGGAACAAAAGGAACTGTGACTCCACTAGCATCCATTGCAGTCCATGAAGCAAATGGTCCCTTGCTCATTTTAAGAAAGTCTGATTTTTTAAAGGAAGCCCTGGCACTACTGACCTCACCAGATGACCCCACATTGATACTGAGACCTTTCCACAGTGATCAGCTGGTTGTTTCTGTTGATATAGTCTCTGGCCTAGTGTGGGGCAGCTCCACTCCACCCCTCACAACAGTCACATATTCCATGAATAGCCCCATCCAATTCAGCAACACTATCCAGTCACAGAACCATTAGTAACCTCCTATATATATGGCCACGCTCTGTGAGACAGCACAGCGGCACTCTCTTCATGGCATTACATAACTCCATAACAATAGCCCTGACTGTCATGATCACAGTATTCAGCGGTAGGTCCCCCAGCTGCCTAGTACAGTTCTGCTATAGCATTAGCTAAATGGATGGATGCCAGTAAAGGAATTACAGAAGACTGGCAGCTTGAACCCCTGTTCCAAATTCCCTGTCCTTTCCACAAGGCATCTCACAATGCACAATGAAAAGAGACCACACAGCTGTGTAGCAGAGCATCAGACCATCGTATGACAACCCCATATTCTGAGCAGGTAAGTCAAATGTGTTAATTCAACAGTTAACAAGGTACCATCCGTTAAATAGGTACCATCAAGGCTGCTAAGCTTGCACAAGAGCTGCATTCGAGTCCATTTTTTATCTAGTTGCCAGTGCCATGCTGGGCAATAACAAGCCCTTTGCTATTTTTGGTACCTAGCACCTCTCCTTTTGTAAGGAAAGAGAAGATGTGCCAGAGACCAGAGCATGGGTAGCTTATCCCAACGATAAAGGCAGCAGTCTGAAAGCAAACCATTTGGGCTGCCCACGCTGCCATCCTAAGACAAAGTCAGGAGCCCAGGGCAGTAACCAACATGTAACCGAGCAGGGCAGCCCAGGGCAGTAACTAACACAGTAGTTGGATCTCTGAAGGCTAACAGGCTAGATACACAGTTCATGAGCCAGAAACCGGAAGCAGTCAATAACCAGAAGACCAGCAATCAGAATATCTGTTTCTGATAGTCTATAACATACAAATCTACCCTGCTTTCCGCCAAAATAAGTGGCAGGAACCAAAGATAGAAGCAATGGAGCCAGACAGAGGTCCATGACCACAGGCTACCAGTCAGAATGAAATTTGAGAACAGGGGTTTGAGGGACTGCTTCAGGCCCATGGATGTAATGTTCAGCACTTATCAGCTGTTCGTGCTGTCCTCATTTGGGTGCCATAGCTTATCAGATAAGCTAGTTAGCAGGCAGGTTGCTTGACCTCAGTTGCAGCCAACTAGCTCAAAGTGCCTGTTGCTGCACTGATTGATCTCCACGTCTGCAGAAGAGATTTAATACTTTAAAGGGGAAAGTTGAAGAACAAGTTCTGTGAAGAAATGTGGGCTGCTTTCATTTGTCTGTGTTTCAATCTCATCCCACCAAATAAAAAAAACAGCAAACATAACAGATCCCAGGTAACCTCTGAAGCTAGCATGGCCCTGGCCATCAGAGAAGGAACTCTGGATTTTCTCTGGCCAATAGGAGCAGGTAGTTGTGAAGAAACTAGAAATACTAGTGCTGCTTGAGAGCTCAGCTAAGCCCCAGGCAAGAATCCTTAATCAGATTGTCCCCTCAAACAGAAAGCAAGCCAAGAAGTGGATGAGAAAACTGTGAAAGGCCATGCAGTTGTTGCAATTCCTGTACTGCAGAAGAAATGGAATGTAAAGAATTGTAAACCCTTAGGCAAATTCCTTAAGGCTCCCTCCAGTCCCTCCCCCTCCAGCAATCCCAGGTGGGAGGCACTGAGAGCTGGAACTGTGCATGGCAAAATGAAGGCAGGCTATGGAAATTCATGAAAGTCCTTTCTAGCCAAATGGGTAAGTCAAAGCACTTGGATACTTCATGGGTGGGCACCACAGAAAGGCAGGAAGATAAGAACAGGCAAAGGAATGATGTTGATAACTGCAAGCACCTAGCTAGACACAGAAGATTTAGTAGCTCAATAGTGCATCAGTGAGCATCTGAGAAATAGAGCTTAAAGAGGACTAGAAAAAACAGAAACTCTCCTAGCAGCAGTCATGGTGGAATCCATTAATTTTCCATTAGCTCAAACATGACACACTAGTTCTATGTTTTGTAATCTGAACCCAAGTGACCTTCCAGTAAGAGGTCCCCAGTGATAAGAGCTGGGTTTCTGAGTTCAGCTATGGCTCAATGGCACCGAGCACTGTCAGCACCAGCACTGAAGTTAGAACAGTGAGCTGGGTGAATGGGGGTGGAGATAATACATGAACCTGTTGGAACTGTAGCAAACCCCCCAGGTTTTACTTTTTTTTAAACTTAAAAATACATTCCCTCCCCTTCCCCAACCATTTCTGACTTTCTCTCTGCCTTCTCCATCCCTTATAACTGATTACAAGTAGTACTAGGTAAACTAAGATAAGTTCTTATACTCCCTTATAGTAACAAGCCCCTTTGATATTGTAAATAATGTTCTATTATGTTTGTATTGATTTTTACTGTTTTATATTGTATTATATTATGTTCCTATTATGTTTGTATTGATTGTTACTGTTTTATATTGAATTTATATGATTTAGGCCTGTGTCTGTAAAGTAATGTCAAGTTTCCATTTTGTATGTCAAGTCTCCATCTTGTGTTCTCTGCCTGGGTATAACCTATTGTATAGTATGTCATAACTGTGATTCATGTCTAACCAGTCTAATGTAAATTTGTTCCTGGATGAATGGGAATGAATGAGGGTGCTTGACGTCCAATGGTAGCAGGCCTCTAACTGAACGATCAACTCAACAACCAGACCATCAACTCAGCA